AAAGGAGCAGTTAATGCTTAATATTTTTTCTCCTCTTAATTTCTTGTGACTTTTCTTTTTACCAATTTTGCATGCTTATATATGGTAACCTAAACAATGAATTTAAAAGCAACATTATGCAATATAATAACCATTGCTTAATTCCTGTTATTTTATGAATAAAAGGAACATCAGCAAAATTCTATATCATTTCTAGTATGTTTATAAAACTTTTTTCTCTTTTAAAATAGAAAATAAAAATAGCTCCAGCCAAACCCAGGCATGCAGCGTGAGTGAGACCTTCTTCTGCACCCTTGGGACCCCACCATCACTCCACAACCCCCACATAAACACCCACTGAGTGAGTGAGAACTTCCTCTGCAATCTTGGGACCCCCAAATCTGGCCCTAGCCCAGGCCCAGTGAGTGCATGGGAGAGCTTCCCTTCCTCCCGCTCCCCCTTGTCCCCTTCAGACTCAGCTCAGGCCTGGCATACAGGCCTGGGGTGAAACTCTGCAGCTGCCATCCCTGAAGAAAGAGTCCCCACAGAACCACCCAGCTAGTCCAGGAACTGAACATCTTGCCAGAGGGGCACAACAGGTTCACCCCCAAGGGCAGCAGCAGGAAGGAGCTGAGCACAGCAGCCAGACCCAAGCCAGGCACAGCTAGATAAATCCAAACTTTGTAGATCTGTACCTGAATTTTAGTAGGTGCTAAGGTTATAACTGCACCAAAGATCTACAACAAAGGTCAGAAGACAGTGCTATACAAAATGCCAATGAGAAGGAGCAAAATGCAATCTCAGACCCCAAGCTCACCCATAACAAGTGCAGAGGACACTAGCACAGAACAAATTGGGAATCACACAGCTGAAATCAATGAATCAAGAGTGTCTGAAGTAAAGAAACAACTGCAGAAAGATATAGAGGACCTCAGATTGGAAATAATAAAAGAAATCTCTGAATTCATAGCATCTGGTAAAGAATCGAATAGAGAAACATAGGGAGGAAAACCAATCTGAAAAAAAAAAACACTACAGTAAAAGAATTAATAACTGCTTCTAAAGAAGACATTGATTAAAAAATAGAGGAGATTAGAAAAGTGACAGATTCCTTGAACAAGCAATACAGGAAAGAAATAGATTGCATGAAGCAGAGTCAAAGAGATATAGAGGAACTTAAAATCTTGATCACAAGCTTGCAAAACCATTTAAGTGAAAGTGAAGACAGCATTTCAGATCTTGAAGACGCTGGTGCAGCAGTGAAAAGGTAAAAAAAAGATCTCTTAAAATAATTAGAATGCAGGAAAAAATAATTCATCACCTGCAAGATGATGCAAACATGAACAATGTGAGACTAATAGGTATCAATGAGAAAGAAGGAGTCAATACAAATGATATTAAAAAAAAATATGGGCAGAAGTAATAGCAGAAAACTTCTCAAATATGAAGAAACAACCTGACATCCAGGTAACCGAAGCATACAGAACACCAAGTAACCTCAACCCAATTAAAAACACACTGAGATATATAATAGTCAAGATCCCAGAAATCCAGCACAAGAATAATATACTGAAAGCCGCTAGAGAAAAGAAGCAGATCACATTCAAAGGAAAACCCATCAGAATTACAGCCAACTTCTCTTCACAAACCATAAAGGCAAGAAGAGCATGGAGCAGAGTACTTCAAGTCCTCTATGAAAACAAATTCCAGCCCAGACTACTATACCCTGCAAAACTCTCTTTCAAGTTTGATGGAGAAGTGAAATACTCCCATGACAAAGAACAGCTAAAGAATTTCATGATGACAAAGCCAACCCTACACAGGCTCCTGAAAAATGTTCTAGAGAGAGACCAAAATGATCAGAACTCCATGAATGAAAACAGAAGCAACCAACTAAGTAGGGCAGACAATTAAACACAAGAGAAAAAGGAGTAAACAACAGCAGGTAAATAACATATCAATCATAAGTCAATAATTCTCAATTATAGCCATCAATGTAAATGGACTCAATTCACCAATTAAGAGAAATAGAATGGCACAGTGGATTAGGAAACAAAAATCCAACAATATGCTGTATACAACAAAATAAAAATAAATGAGAGAGCTCAAACTATGGATATAGAACATTATGAAGAATTTCACAGCTGATCTATAGTTTATTCCATGTCTATGACTAGTAGATGCTTAAAAATGCATATTAAATAGCTGATAAAACATAAAAACTCTTCAAAGAGTGGAAGGAATATATGAAAGTTCTGTATTCAGTTCTTAAATTTTGTTCTTAATTTTTCTATAGGGTGAAACAACCACAACACATGTAAATGTGTGCAGGTACTACTTATAGAGATGAGTACAGTTTAGAGAGACCATTAGTTTAGTCAATAGGTGGTTCACGATCCAGTGACCCCTGCCCCCAACAAGTATCTGAGCATCATATTTCCTTTGTTAAGTTACGTTGTTAGAAAGTCTCACACAGTGCCACACTAGTAGGTTAGCAACAAATACTTTTTGAATAGAATCACATCAAATGTAATTGAGTTGAATTGCCTAAGACAACACACCTGAAGCCTGACCAGCAGAGGTACACAACTCTGGTTCATACTGGAATCATTGAGGGAACGCTTTGATGCATCATGTCCTATTCTCCAACTGTAGCTATTTTAACTTGATTGCTCTGGAAATCCATATGATCCTGAATTTACTGGAGAGTAGTCCTTAATATGAACCAGTACTAAATTCACAGGGGTTCTGAGATCTATGGGGATATGGGACACATTTCTGGACTGAGTAGTCCTTATTGGGAAAGGGCTGATTGTTTCATATGTTGCACAGTTTCAAAGAGAGAAACATAAAGAATCCAGTGTGTCTGCGTTGTGGACAGATCACCATTTAGTGAACTGGCACAGGACACGGCATGCCAGTGAAGATCCGTTTTTAGATAGTGTTTGCTTTCTGAAAGCCTGCAAGCTGTGCATTTCTGCTATGTATTTGGAGCATACATATGTGGTGTGAATTTCCTCAAAGTGGATCTTGTAAAGGAACTTGAGAAACACGTCTGAGAGTTCAAGTTAGTTTAAAACGGTGTGACATTAACAGATGGTGTGGCTGCTCTGAGTTTATTAGAACTCAGTTTATTAAAACTGCAATCACATGGAAAATTTTTGAACAAAATTCCTTACATGTGATAGAGAGAATTCATACTGTTTGAGTCTGTGGAGTGATTATATAAGGATAGAAAATTGAGTTGGCAGAGAAGCTGGGAGGGATAAATAATGATGGGACACCTTTAGATGAAGCTTCCCCTCTGAGCTGGGCTGTGGAGACTGCTAAGGATTCCAAGAAAAAGATTCTGAAAACACCTTCCCTACTTCCCTTATCCTCCCTTACCACAGAAACACAGGTAGGGCCTCTGCTGCATGCTGGCCTCTCACACACACCCAGGAGCAGTTACAATGCCCTGACTACTGGCACGGAACAAGGAACACGAGGCACAGGACAAAGGGAAGTGTGTTTGCCAGCCACAAGAAGGTCTTGAGTCAAGAATCTGTCCTCACCTAGACAAGAAGCTACTAGAATGTCAATCTCCTTTGAGGAGAAAGTAGGGTACAGGTCCTGACTACAGATGGCACAGATTCAGGGAATGCTTAAAGAAGCCTAGTATACTCCATCCTCTGCTACTTTGGGTGAGGAATTATGGGCAAACCATGCTACTGGAGAAAAAGTTCAAAGTAAAAACTACTTCCCCCAAGTAAAGGTTGCTTCCATTCAAAGGAAGTGGGCACTGAGGTACAGCTACCCATCTCAGGGTTTCTCACACAGCCAAATGCAGCTGGTGTCCCCATCAGTGGCATTAGCACCACCTGTTAGGCTCAGCGTGGCAGAGGTTGGCACAGTATGTACTGCTGCTTGGTATTCGTCATGGTGAGAACTGATGCGGCTAGGCCTTTCATAGCCTTTGAAAAGCATTTGTGACTAATGTCTCTTACAATAATAATAAATACTTCAGAGCATTGTTCTGTGTAAAAAAATAAAGAAATCAAAGCACAACAAGGTAATGCAACTTCACCAAGTAGTAAAAGGTAGAGCTAAAATTTAAACTTGGTCTTCTCACTAAATTCCAGCCTCTTTGCATAACACAGGTAAGTATGCACCAAGTGCCCGGAAATTAATCCACAGGTGATATCTAGATATATTTTCATCCAAGTACAGAAGTACTGTCTGAGAGGAAAACCAAACCACTTGCTCCCTTACCCTGACATCTTGGCCTCCTGGTCACCAAAGAGACACAGAATTTGACTTCAATTCTGACCAAGTGCAAGTGTGGAGCAGAGTAGTGAGAGAATTGTTAAAATAGTGATTCCAAACATAGGATTTACAGTCAGACCTATATGACATGTTATGTATTATGTGCATTTTCTTGAGCCATTCAGTTTACCTCTCTAAGCTTTAATATCTTCACCTGTAAGATGGAAACAGTGATTTTAAAGAACTGTGAGGATCGAATCAAAGCTCTGAATGTGGAGCCTGGTGCAAATGTTACCTTCCTTTATTTTACACACACACACACACACACACACACACACACACACACAACCACATCTAACCATGGGTACCATCAGCTACAAGCCACCATTATGGTACAAGCACACTCTATGGTTGATAACTAATGTCCTTCCGGCAACTCATTAATGAAACTGCCTTTATTGTCTCGGCTGGAACAAACATTTAAAAAGAACAAGTAAGGGTACTTTCAAGTAGACGTGTGGAACAGAAAGAACACTGGGCCAGCACTCGAAAGAACCTCAGTTTTCGCTCCACAGCAAACATGTGGCAAAATCTTGAAAATGTCCATCACCCTTCCTGTCCTGTTAGACAGCTGTGAAATGAGGGGCTCCAGGGAGGTCTGTAAGGGCCTTTGCAGGACTCCTGTTCCCCCAAGGGGGGAAAAAAAAAATCAGGCAAAAAGCAGTCAGCAAAATGGTGCTGAAGCCACTACTAGCTTGAGCAACGCGAACTCTCACCTCAAATGGCTGTCCTGAGAACTTCAGCCACTTGGAAAAACCATCCTCTCCTTTGGATGGGACTCTCGTAGTTTGGACGGGGCTCAGAGGTCCCAACTAAAAACAGCCCGAAGTCACTGGATAACAAAGGAAGAGGCACCCAGCCAAGAGGAGGAGATGAGTCTGGGCAGCTGGGCTTCAGGGTCGCCCACTGAGAAAGCCCCCAACGAGCCGCCTTCTACCCGCCAGCGCCGAGAACCTCCGAGTAAGGCCACCCCTCATCCAAAGTTCCTTTCTTATGGACAAAATCAGCAACTGCCCTGCAACACACAAAGTTCCTGGTTCTGTTAGCTCCAAGACCCAGCACCCTAAACAACGCCGCTGAATGCATAAAACCTAGCTGTTCTGCTTGGCTTTCTCCATCTCCAACCTAAAAACTAACTCTGCAATCGGCCTGTCTCGCCTGCCAGCAACTTCAGCTCTGCTAGCACTGTTTACTGTATCTTCCAGTGATTACGGATTCATTTCCTTTGCTTCGGCCTTCTGCGCTTAGTAGCGCTCTTTCTCCCCTACAACACAAATCCAAACCTCCAAAGATGTGAGCTCTGACTTCTCCTGTCCGAGGTGGCCCACTCCCGCTTCCCTGTCTGACTCAAAATTCCTCTCTCTTCTACAGCTTTTCCTGAAACACCACGAGAAGTATATCCGGAGCTTTCATTTTTGAGAAAGAAGGAAAAGAAAAAATGACGAGGGAAAAAAACGAAAAAAAAAAAAGACCCATATAACTTACTTTCATCCAGGACTGCACAGTTTGGGAAAGAAGAAAACAGTTATAATCCACTGAGTTCCCCCAAACCAAAAAGGAGGATTAGTTGTGAAGCGCTTCTCTTTCCCCTTTGCCCGTAAGGGAGGCTGGTGGCAGGCATACATCCACAGGCTGATGCAAGATGCCTTTGAGAGAAACCTCACATTCTGAGGATTCCTGGGAGAGCGCCAGGGATCCCAGCATCCAATATATTGCACATTTGGTTTCAATTAGGAAGGGGGTTGGGGAGGGAAAGAGGAAAGTCACCAATCAGAGCTGTTTTCTGTTTAGAGTCTATTTCTTTTGACCCAAGGGACCGTGGGCAAAGCTATAATTTACAGCAAAACCCATTCATAGAAGAAAAAAAATATGTATAACCATAGGACAGACTTAAAGCCGTAGCTGCCTTCCCATTAGCCATCCCTACATCCTCCTCCCCGCCTCTAAAACTTGGTCCCTGTCCTGTGACCCCCACCACCACCTCATTTTTCTTACTTGAACTGAAACTAGAAGCACACTAAAAGTTTGGAGTTTCTTCAAATTGAAGTTTACAGGACAGTTGTGTCAATGACATGGAGCTGGACTCCAGTATTCGGGCCATGAGAGCTCACAGCTGAGCCCTCCTCGCCCTCCAAAATATTTGGTTTAATCCTCCAACCTCCTCTAAAAAACAAACAAAACAAAACAAAAAACTTGATGGTTCCAAAGTCCAGGATTCCTTTTTTTTTTTTCCACTCAATTCCCATTTGGCTGTGGCTGCTAAGGGTCTGTTGCTGTCCTGGATTCCTGCTGCTAAATGAAAACACACGCTTTTACGAGGACTTTCTAAATTATTTTGTAAACTTCTTTTTCCTCCCCCCTCACTCCCTCCCAGCCCCTGTTCCTGTGGCCAGGGCCAGGGATCATGTGAAAGTTATGTGTAGGCGACAAGGAGGCTTGCACTTGGGTTTCTGAATGATAACTGATAATCCTCCCCATCAGTCCAGGCCCCAGCCTTAACCCTTCAGAGCCTGGCTCACTCCTGAGCAGGACTCAAAGGTTCTGATTCTCCAGGAGTAGAGGGAGTACAGGAAACCAGGTTCTGGAGAGCAAGAGATACACGAGGAAAGGTAGACGGCAAGGGTAGCTGAGGAGACCTCGCCTACCTGTGAGAGCCAGCCTCCTCCTCGTAAGAGTCCTGCTTCTGGGCTCTGGAGCAAACACCAGCTCTTCTCTCTTGTACTTGAGCTGCTTCCAAGATGAGCAGGAGGGGAGGTGGGGCCACTAGGAAAAGGAGGGAGGGGCATCCCCATAATAAGTCAAGAGCAGGAGATGCTTCACAAAGGAAAGAGGGAGGGAAAGCAAATCCCAGGGAGATAGCCATGAAATTAAGATCTAAACTGTCAGTGTGAAGTCCCTGAAAGCCCCCTAAGCCCTGCACCAGAAAGCAGCTGCGATGCCCATGCTTCACAGCTAGAACAGGATAAGGAGATCAGAGAGACAGCTCAGGGGACAGCCACAGGAACAGTTAAGGCAGAAAACAAGATCCGGAAGGAAAAGCTAGAGCCAGGGTTATTTCACAAAGAGAAGGAAGAATTCAAGGTGAACTACTCAGGTCTGAGAGTTTCCAAGGCCAAGGCCTTTAGCTCAGCTTAATCAACACACGTTGAATGTGTACCAGACACTTTACTAGGTGCCTGCCAGAGACTTCTATGGACATCTGCTTATAGAAACAGTCCTAGGATTCTCTTCACTTATCTAAACCTGTAGTAGCTTATTTCCTTGATATTGCTATGAAGTGCAGTAATATAAACCATCACTTCAGGGGTTGGGTGAAGTTATAGGTCAAATGTGGAAAATAGTGTAATTGCCTCCCCAAGCTAGAACCTAAGAAAAGTCAGATGTCGTAACTTGTATCTAGATGTCCCTCCAAAGCCTCATGCAGTCAAGTGGCAGGCTCCTCAGAGGTGGCTGAATCTAGAGCACGTGTTGCTAGGAGTAAGGGTACGTGGTGACTAAGTCAGTCCGTTCATTGATTTGGCACAGTTCTGGCTAGGATTAAGGGTGTGAGTGCTACACTTGCACTAGGGCAGGTTGCCTCTGTGTAATAGAAGGGACAGAAAGAGTCTTGTCTTTCTCTCTTGTTGCATTGCTACCTTCTGGCTACCATGAACTGGTTCTCTCTTGTTCCTTTTGTTGTTTCTACCACCATGAGCAGTTGTCCCCCTGCCCTGCCACCCTGCCTTTGAGCCAGCAGATTGTAGACTGAAACCTCTACAAACTGTGAGCTAAATAAACCTTTGCTTCCTTAACTTTTGAGTGTTTCATCTCAGTGACAAAACAGTAACTAAGCAGGCATGTATGTGTCCTTAAGTATCAGTACCAAAGGTGGTTCTATTCTGCAGGTAGGACCACGTGTCTGTGTATGTGCATGTGTATAACTAAGAATCCATCTTGAGCCAGATTTGACTTCAAACCCCAGAAAACCAGACTCCCCTGAGGAAGGATGTGCAGCCTCATCAAGAGTTTAGTTGTATAAAGAGCAAGGAGACTTGTGGAGAACTCACCAAGTGAAAAGACATAGAACAAGGTACCAAGTACACCAAGCTTTGTCAAAGGTAAGGAGTAGCTCAAAAAACAAACCATGTTTACCACTCAAAATCTTATGCCTGATGCTCAAAATGCCACCTCTATCACTTGGGCTATTCTGAGTCAAATTCAAGGTCTAATCCTGAACTCTAGGAAGTGTATACTTCCAAGACAAGAGCAGAATTAAGCTGACTGTGATCTTTTCAAAAAACTTTGAGAGGCACAGGAAAAATCATCAGACCTGTGCCTTTGTTTCCAGATACAACTCTGACTGGATAGGGAGGCTGTGTTTCTTCAACCATAATGAGTAATTGTAATAGGGAACCCTAGCTGGGAAGAAATAATATGGAAGTATTGCTTCAAAAGTGAAAGAGGCAGTCCATGGGACCGAAAGAAGAAATTTCCTGAGGACCCTCAAAACTATTTGATAGAGTTTGGAGTACAGTTAGAATTCCTGATATTGTGAGAACAGATGTGGAAAATATAATTTTATTACTCTTTTGTGTGCAGATTGTATCCCCTGGTTGGTTTGGCTTGGAAACATGAGTCACTGCAATCAGAATTATTTATGGTCCATAGAAGGTAATACATCCTCGTTACGAGGTCTTTTTTACACTGAAAATAAATAACTGAGAACTAGGACTTTACTAAAAATAGGGTAGATTTATCTGGATTGGCCAAGATACATGTAAGGAAATGTGCAAAAAGCCTTTCCAAGGTCTTTTCTAGTCTGTAATACAAGGTTCAATGAAATACAATGATGCTTCGGTTCACAAACACTTTGGTTGCAAACAATTTAGTTGGCAAGCAGAAGCATTTGGCAAAATGCTATTTTTGATTATGAACTATGTATCAGGTAATGAACACAACTGAAGCCAAGTTTTCCAGACTTATGCAGCAAATTAAATTGGAGAACTGAGGCTTCACTGTATAAGTGTTAAGAATTGAAATAACTGGGCCAGGGATGTAGCTCAGCATCACAGGCCTGCTTGGCAAGCACACGATCCTGAGTTTGCTTCCCAGTAACAACAACAAAGAAAAATTGAAACAACTATAGTATTTCCATCTCTAAATGACTAGAAGCTAGACACTTCTCTGAGGCTTTAGAAATAAAATAAGGGATGGAATTAAAAGGAACTTTATTTAATTTAAACACACAGGACTGGGGAGATGGCTCAGTGGAATAAGCACTTCCCTGGCAAGCACAAGGGCCTGAGTTCAATCCCCAGTTCCGCCAAAAAAAAAAATAAAAAATAAAAAATTTAAACACACCAACACACACATACCCCTTATAAGGATATATGTGTATTCACAAAAACAAAACTACATGGTATATTTAAGTTTCCAAAGGAGGGGGCCTGCCCATTAGCTCAGTTGTTTAAGTGCCTGCTTAAACAAAGCAGTCAGGCTCTGGATTCTGTGGTTCGATCCTCATGTCTTCATAGACCTGACCTTGAGGCATCCTGAGCTGGCATAATAATAAGAATAATCATAATAATAATAATAATAATAACTGGAAATTAATCCATCATAAACTAGTTGATAGTTTTATCTCTCCTCTCTGTTTCTTTCCTCCTCTTCCTCCCATCCTCTTTTCTTCTCTTCTTCCTCTTATTTTCCCTTCTTCTAATTTCCCTTTTCCTCTTCCTTTGTGTCTCTTCCCTTTTCCTCCTCTTCCTCCTCTTTTCTCTTCTCCACTTCCTCTTTCATTCTTTTTTCTTTCTCCTCTTCTTCATAGCCCTACATCATGATATCCCCATTAATTTTTTTAGCAAACCAGCTCTTTCTGCTTCTTCTCACAGACTCCTAAAAGGTGGCCATCATAAGATGGTACTTTAGCTCTTACTGAAGGCCAGTTGAAGAATCCTCAGAGGAAGTAACTGATTGATCAGCCATGTCTCATATACTCATCCTCTACCTCTAAACTATAACATTGATAATCACATAATATGCATACAGCTTCAAGGTGAGTCAGCTTTAAGAAAAGAGGCCTTAGGCACTAGAAGACCTCCCAAAGCATCTGCTATACCAATAATTAACAAAGCCTAACAATACCTGGATTTTAAAGAAATTACACCTTACCAAGAGAAAAATGGAGAAATTTCGGTGGAGTTACACTGTGCATACATTAGACCAATTGTGGAAGCCAATTTTTAAGATTTTTGGTATTGGTTAATTCATCCACAATAGACCAATCCATGGACATCGAAGCTTGCAATCTTAATACTTTAAAAAAAAGAATCGCAAAGAAAACTTATGGGCAACTGAAATACTAATCTTCTAAAACCAAAAATGCCACAATGTCCAGATAGCCGCATGTGGATTTTCCTTGGTTCCTTCCTGAACTTGGTTTGTGAGTTCCAAATCTCAGTGTGCTCATTAGTGAAAGGGAAATTAATTTCAAGCCCTTAGTGAACAAAATCCCCTTCAAAATCCCCTCTAACTGTTCCTTCTAAAAAGTGGGAACAAGATACACTAACAACTCATACGGCTGTAAGAAGCTGATGAGGGGCAGAAAGAATCACTTGGCGGAGTGCTTCCTGTGTGCCAGGTACTCATCTAAGAATTTTACACTTATCATTTCATTTGCTGTTCTCAAGAACTCCATAAGGAAGGTACTATTATTTCCCCAATGCCCAAAGGAGCATAATGAGCAAAACAAAGTTACCTTGCCGAAAACCGTATCTTGTAGACTCAGAATTCATCTGAGCACAGCCACATGTTCCTTGTTGTCAGTGAAGAGTTGTGTGTTTGTGGGGTGAATAGAAAAGATTTCTGAGCAGGAGGGAAGCTGTTCATTCTGAGGCTTCCAAGAATTGAGTCTTGTTATCTTTATGGATAATAATCCGTACCCTTCCTTTTTGTTCCTAAAGCTGATCGTTAACTCTGTCATTGATCCACAGCACTTCTGTCACAGAAAGAAATAAGAATTAAAAAACAAAATCAAATCAATCTGTCTCGTGATTTTCCCATGAGTGAGCTACAAAGTCAGGTGAAGGGGAAGTTGAAGTTATTAGTGAAAAAAGATTCTCACGCGCCTTAGTGTTTAACAATGGCACGTATAGTGTTTCCCACCTCTGGGAGGCTTTCACAGACATGACTTCATCTGGTCCTCAGACAGCCCAGATATGCACTCAGTGCAGATATTAATATCCTCGGGCTACAAACAAGGAAAAGAAAGCTCAGGGAAAGGACAGCTTGCTCGGGGTGTTTTACAAGTAAGTCAACGTCTAGCAGAGTCTCAGCCTGGGAGAGTATGAATTCGAGTTAGCTTCTCAGGCCTCTCAGGGCTCCTGCTCCCTGCTGGCCACCAGCAACAGACCTCTGCAGAGCACCTAGGTTCTTGATTATCCACCAGGTCCGATGGAGAGTGATCTTCTGGTCTCCTGCCTGAGGCATTGAGGTTTCATTTCTTTGCTCGTTGTGGAGAAAGCCTAACAAGTCCTTGTCCCAGCAGAAATTCTGAGAAATGGGGTGTAGATAATAAAATAGACCCTTAAGACTCAGAATTGCAACTCACCTTTGAATTCTCTGAGAGTGAGGATTACTAAAACGAATTACTGAAATAGCATCGTTGTCAAGGGGATATTAACCATTTTCCAAGTTATGATCTGGAAACATACACTATCCTTAGATTAAAAGAGCAAGCTAATTTTAAAGTGCTGGATGTGGTGGCACACACTTGTATTCTCAGCACTCTGGGAAGTTGAGGCAGAAAGATAATAAATTTTAACTCCAGGCTGGGCAATCTTAGTGATTTAGTAAGACTCTGCCTCAAAATAAGAAAATTTTCAAAAAAAAGAAAAAGTGGGTGGGGGGAGCTGAGGGTGTAATTCAGTGCAAACTACGTTGTACTTGTTTAATCTCCAGTACTGCAAAATAATTAAATAAACTAATTCTTTCATTAATGAAATGCCTTCAGGGAATAGCATCTCTCAACAGACTGCTTGTCAACACTCACTGTCGCAAGTTCCGCTTTATGTGTACCCTGATGTTCCCTGGCAGCCATTCATATCTGACCCTTGTCTGCACTCAGGAAAAACAGCTTGTGGCTGAGCTACCCCTTACGTCTCCTGTGCTAGTGCCTTAAGCGCCCATTTGTCAAAGCAAAGTGGAGTTGGAGCAATAGTGCTGTAGTTTCCGTCCTCAGGCCCAGTTTGCTGCAATCATCTGATGCATAATGATAACCCTTCTCTTGAAACTTGAAGACCCTAGCCACCTCCTTTCTGGCCTAGGGTTTTTCCAGCATCTGTGGGAGAAACAATATAGCCCCACTGCCAGTCCAAGAAGTTTGAAAGATCCAATCATTTTCCCTTATTTAAGCCTTATTTTTAGAGAATCACTCTACTTTTCTCAATTATGTCTGGAAAGCGCTGGGAAGTCTACAAGAACAGTATCTGTGAGTGTTAATTGGAGGGAAGATTTTGAATAAGTATTAAAAAATCATTTCATCCTCTCAAACAGTTCACTGTAGAGGCCTTGCACAATGTCCTGTTGTTCGGTTCTTAATGCATAACTCCATTCCATTGCCCCGAGTTACACCATAAACACCACCTTCTTGTTTCTAACACACAACATATTTCACAGCAGAAAGGAATTTATAGCACCAATGTTATTTTTCCAAGTGCAAGTCCAGTGTGCACTGTCCAGAGGCATTCAAACTGCCTTTCAAGATAGAGACCAGATTCTGATTCTGTGCTTCTGGGAAGGCTCCGATGTTACTCAGGGATAGGATCTGTGTTTCCAAGGCCCTTTGTGTCCCAGACAAGAACCCAGATGCACAAAATGCTTTTCATTGTGAACACTGAAAAGATTTCAAGCCAACAAAATGAATAGAAAAAACTATTAGGTAAAGTTTTCCTGGACCCAAGAAGGAGAGGGGTTTGAGGGAAACAGAGTCTGCAGAAGATTCCAGGGATGTCAACAACCTTGAAGAACAAAGATCAAGCCTGAAAGCTCCTGGTCTGTATTTAGCCCCTAAAGAGCACTGCTCTCTTCAATGGAAATAAGAGTAAGGTAGAATTGTTTCCTGTAGAATCAAGAATATATTCGACAGAGTTGACACAGTGAGGGGAGGGGTGGGTACTCTGTCTGTATCCTCCCCATGACAGACAGCATGCTCAGCCTCATCCCCTCCCCCACTGGCTTAGGGCTGGACTAGGCCTAGGTAGATATGGTAAATTTTCTAGGATTAAAAATTCACACCTGCTTTTATTTCAAGTTCCTCAGCATTATGTTCCTTACTGAGGCCAAGCTTGGCAGATGCTTCTGCTCAGTTATGGCCCTGCTACCTCCCCTTTAGGGAAGAGCTATCAGAATCATGTAGTATGAGGTAAAACTTACTCCCTTGTCTGTAACTGAAGGGATCAGGAATAGACACCTAATCTAAACTGTTCCTTGAATTCTATTTATAAAATCTGGAAATAGAGCAAGGGACTGCAAATCCCATCTGATTAGTAACTTGAAAAGAGAAGACATTTTAAAGATTGCACAGGTGGCATTATTGTCTGCATTGCATGAGCTGTGGGAACAGAGAAGGCTGGTCCTCAGGGAAGAATAATGAGGTCAGCACACAGAAAAACCCAAGTGCAAATAGGAATCTGGACACTATTCCAGTTTCCTGTCCCAAGTTCTTCCCAAGATGAAGATGCTCTTCTTGCTCTTGGCTACATACACTGTTTCATCCCATAAAACATTCCAATTTGTTACCCTGCACATTCACAACAGGGCAATAATTCATATATTGCACTGCTGGTATCTGGAAGTACCAGCAGTGCATGCCCGGTTGTCCCATGCATGAGTGTACCACCTCTACCTCCAGTGCTACAAGCTGCCTGATGGGACAGTCATGGATGGATCACTGGTGTCTCATGCCAGCAGGAAACTGTTAAATTGGGTCAGGTGGACTTCTCTAAGTTGAGACAAGGCTCCTTTCAAGTCTCTGTACAGGTGTTGTTTCTGGCAAGTTTAACACTTCAATAAAAGCAGAAGGTGAGTATCATTTCAGTGATGACATAGAAATCAGTTAGAAGACCAATGTTGGCACTCCTAGTAACTCTCTGTTGACCAATTCCTTATTTGCCTGAATTCCTGAGTAATGCTTTCCTCTTGGGTTTGGTGTGCTGAACTTTGCTTTTATATCATTAAACATTCAACGGGAAAGCAGATATCACACTAGGTGTTTCAGCAGAAGAGATTGAATATAAGGAATTGGTCACGCTAGTGTTGGAGGGTGAAGCAGAAATAATAACTGTAGAAAGCACTTCCAGTCTAAATCTGGGGAAACAAAAGGGAAAGGGGTTGGACTTAGGAGCTAGAAGAAGGGGAGACTTTGTGACTGTAGCTCAGACCTTTGAGGTGAGTCATAATGTGGATTCTTCTGTTCCACTGAGGAGACACAGTGAGACTTATATGGGAAATGCAAAAAGAAGCTAAATGCTGTGACAAACTGCCAGGGTGGTATGAAGAGCTACTGCTGGGGCCCAGATGCCACTTCCAGAGCAATGACACTGATATCAAAAACAGAAAACATTTCTTTTTTTCACATTTCCTGCCTTTCAATCTCCATCCACTGTCTTCTGTTAGTAAAACCTAAGAGAAAGCCAGCAAAGGTAGGAAGGCCAGAAAGTGTAAATCCTGCTTTAGAGGCAAAGTGGATGAAGACCAGGTCTCGCATTCTAGTATCTGCATGTGACTGAGCCAGAGAGGAGAGGGAGGGAGGGAGGTTGGTCAGGTAGAGCAAAAGGAAGAACATGACATCTACCTGTAGGCAGAAAAGTTGACCAAAGGATGGGACAGAGGAGATACTGAACTGAGTGTTGTCGTCCTTAAAGAAAATGAGAGTGAGGGGCCAGTTTGCAGTGTGTTGAGAAGGGATTGTGTGGAAGACAGGAAGAACAGGGCTTAAAAAATAATATTTTATTTGGTTTACAGTGAAGTCTAAATAATGAAAAGACAGGGGCTTAACACTATTTTAAGAGAAACATAGAGTTCTTGCACACAAAGTAGCATAGTGCCATGATAAGAACATGATTCTGGGACCTGAATGCTTGAGCTGAAGTCATAGTTCAGCCACTTACGATCAAGACGCTCCTGACCAAGTTAGTAAACTCTCTGCTCCTCATCTCCCTGATACCTACACTGGGCGCTTGTTCCAAGGATGCAATGGATTTACAAACTTAAAGCCATTACAATAGTATCAACCTCACACTAACTACTCATTAAACATTAATTAACTGAATACAGAAGATAAACACACATGCATGTGTGTGCACATATATTTAATGTATAGTAAATATATGGAAATATATAGAAGATCTACGACTATGAAGAAATTAGAAAAAGTCAAAAGCACTGAAAAATTAATATCCATATTGACTAATCAGAAATATTTCTGGGCCGGGGAGATGACTCAGTGGAATAAGTGCTTCTCTAGCAAGCACAAGGGCCTGAGTTCAATCCTTAGTTCCACAAAAAAAAAAAAAAAAAAAGAAGAAGAAGAAGAAAGAAAAAAAGAGAGTTCAGGCTGAACGTTTAGCAGGTGCAGCACCAGGAAAGGGGAGAACCTGTCCATTTCCAGAGCATTTCCCCAGTAGATCTGTTTGCTTCCTACAACCTCTGAAGACATATAATTACGACACTATGGCAGGGATTTTGCGTTCAGTGGTTCACAGGCCCCCAGGCAGGCTACAGACTGTGACAAAACGTGTGGAATCTCTCATGGGTACAGATTGGATTC